ATGCCCTCTTGAACTCTAAGCTCCATGATGGCAAGGATCCTGAATTTCTTTTCTTTGTAACCCTGAATATATGTGTAGACATATTTCATAGCAGAACATAACCTCCAAGACCCATAGAAATCCAGGTTGATTTAAAAATGGAAGAGAAAGTAAAAGATGGGTGGTGGGGTATTAGAGACTAGAGATCTTATATATATATTTTTTATTTGCCAGTACTAATGTTAGCCTCCAAATTCTATTTCGACCCTCCTTCAAATGCCTATCCCCCAAAATCTCCACTCTAAACTACAGACACGACAACCAATAGAGATGACTGCATTTTCTGAGGTAAATTCTTGCTTGAGAGGGTATTGACTTGCATACAAAATGTTGGGGGCATAATGTTAAAATAAGCTTAAAACACACTCAGTTTTACAGTTCATGATGTACTCCTTTTAAGCATTTTACTTATATTAACTCAGTTATCCTCAAAACCATCACATGCTACAAGCACTAGTATTACCTTTTCATTGACCCTACTCCCCCAATTTTACAATGTGGTAGACTTAGGTTGGTTGCAAATTCCTGTCACTCTTCCTGTTGGAAGTGAGGCTTATGTCTCCCTCCCTGAAAGTGAGAAATGGCTGCTTTGACCATAGAAATGGTGTATGTGACAATGTGTCAGTTTCCAGGCTCAGGCTTTAAAAGTCTGGCAGTCTCTTCTTGTTCCTTAGAAAACTCTCTCTGAGAGCCCTGAGCCTCCATGAAAGAAGTCCTGCTACTCTGCTGGAGAGACCACATGGAGAGTCTTGGAAACTGCAGGGAGAGGGACATGGACCCAGCTGAGTCCAGTGCTTCCAGTTCACCCACCAAGGCACAAAGGCATGTGTGTGATGTCTGACCCTCCAGACCAGAGTAGACACTGGGTAACTCCAGTTGACTCCACATGGGGCCAAATAATTGCCTTGCTGAGTTCTGCCCAAATTCCTGGCCCACAAAAGTGTGATATCCAATGATATAGTTATCATGTTAAGCCACTAAGTTTAAGGGGAAAGTTGGTTTCATAGCAATAGTTAACTAGAGCAAATGTGACTAGCTAATATGAAGAAAAACTAGGTTCTAAACCCAGGCAATTCTGACTCCAAGCACATCCATTAATCATTCTGCTATAGCCTTTCCACTGGAAAAAAATAAAATTGTCCCAAAGCACACTGATCATTTTGGAGGAAAAGTGCTCCACAAGCCATGTCACTTCTAGTTGTTAGATGATTATAAGGTATGCAATAAAGCCTATCTTGTTTTTTATTTATTCAATAAATACTTACTGAGCACATTTTAAGTGCCAGACCTTTACTTGAGAATTATCACGTAGCTACCTGCTTTCTCATTATATCCATGGTCCTAAACCATGGATACAATCTAAATTATTATTATTATTACTAGAGGCCCAGTGCATGAAATTTGTGCCCTCAGCCCAGCCTGCCCCTCAGTCTGGGAGCCCTCATTGGATGTCCTACTGACAGCTACAGTCTGGCAGCAGAGGCTCAGAGCAGCAGAGGCTCAGAGCAGGCGTCCCGTGTGTGTGTGTGTGTGTGTGTGTGTGTGTGTGTCTATTGGGGCCTGCCCCCAGCCACGCCACATAGGCTCAGAGCAGTTGCCGTGTGTGTGTGTGTGTGTGTGTGTGTGTCTCTGCTGGGTGCCTGCCCCCAGCCACACCGTGGAGGCTTGGAGCAGGCGCCCCTCTCTGTTGATCTCTCAGGCTCCTGGCCTCCACTGCATGTTGTACTCTCCCTTGAGCTGTGGCCAGGGTGGGGTGCTGCCTGCAGGCCGCCCTTTCCTGCTCTGGGATTGCCGCAGCGACCCAGCAGCAGGCGCACACGGGGGAGCTGCCTGCAGGCTGCACTTTCCTGCTCTGGGATCGCTGTAGAGACCCAGGAGCAGGCCTTGCTGGGTGCTGCCTGTGGGCAGCGCTTTCCTGCTCACCGATGGCTGGATCACCAGGGCACCCAGGGTCACGCCCTGCTGGGTGCTGCCTGTGGGCGGCACTTTCCTGCTCTCTAATCGCCATGGGGTCCCGGCTGGGGGCGGGGCTTAGGCAGCACGGGGGGATTAGGTGGCACATGGGGTCCTGGCTGGGGGCGGGGCTGCACACAGGGCCCGGATGGTGGCTCATGCTGTCCTGCCCTGCCTGCAGTATGCAAATTAGCCGCCTCTTTGTTGGCAGCTAATTTGCATATCATGCTGATCAGCCAATGGGAGGTGTAGCGAAGGTATGGTCGATTACCATCTTTGTCTATTATTAGATAGGATTATTGTTGTTGCTGTTATTTTCATTATTATTATTTATTCAGGGAGCACCTAGAGACATACTTCTTAATATAGAATGAAGACCTGATGCTTGGGTACCATAGCTGTTAGTAATTCCATGGAGTACATGAAATTCACAAGTAAGTCTGTAACAAACAAGATTATCAGAAATATCAAAGCACCAGTTACTCCCAGGGGGGCCATATCAACTCAAAAACTTTTTGTTCACACTCACACAGTTAAGAGCATGACTGAAAGCACTTTCAGCCTTCTTTTGAATGGAACTCAACACTCCCCAAGGCCTACTGAAAAGAAACTGCTCAAATGATATCTTCTTAGCTTATGCTTTAAGAAGGAACCAGTAGATTTTTTGAACAACCAGGTCTTTATACTTTTAAATTCACATCCTTATTCTATTTTCACTGGAAGAGCTTCATTTTAGGACAATCCTGCCCTATAGATGTTATCAAAGCAAAGGAGGACAGAACAGAGTATTATCCAGAAAAGTGAATGATGGATCTGACAAATATGAAATCCAGTCTTCCCCAATTTCTTTCTCCCTTCTAAAGTATTTCCAAGAGATCAAAGCTTTATGAGTCCACTTTATCCAAGAAAACTAGCTGGATTAAACAGGGCACATTAGACTTTTGTGACTGACCTTCTTCACCCAAAGCCTTTAGAATTGTCCTAAACCATGAATATAATCCAAATGCTATTGGGTCCCTAGTCCTGACATAGGCTTGATGTGGTCTATAGAATGTACTCGAGATCAGAATAGGCTTGTATGTATTTACGCACCCTTAAAAACAAAGAGTGTCAACAGATTTATAACTTATTTTTATAGCCTTAGTGGAAGCAAAAGGAAAAACATGTAGACATAATCCAATTATGACTAGACTCAAAGGAAAAGAAACACACACTACACAGGAGGCTATCACACAGCCTCCAGCAGTCCACATCTACTAAAATGAGAACAGGTTCTATGATATTTAAGATCATAATCATTGGCAAGACTTTGGTCTTTTGTACCCTACACTTCCCCAGAAGCTCTGGCTCTCTCCGTTTGGAAAGACTACCCGATTTACTTCCATTTATGTATTTGCCACAAGATGGAAAGCCAAAAACCGATGATTACCATGGCTTAGTCCCTGAATCCGGGGTAACACTAAATCCTCTTGGGGGTCAGTGAAAATTGGGCCTTGCAAAAGATTATAGGAATAGCCATTGCGACAGAAAAAAAAGCCCTTTGCACTTCTGCTTCCCACAGAGTTAGTGGAATGTATTCTGACAGAAACAAAACAAGTCTGCCAAGACCTGTGCAGATAGAACTATGTTTTCACCAACAATAAACAGATCTGCTTTTGAGCTATAGAGAGTCATAATAGAAATATATATTGCCTTTTATCTTCTTTTCAGTGAGTAGAGTGAAGTGTCAAGAGTTATTGCTTTAATATCAGAGAAAAAGCTATTTTTTGGAGCATGTGTATAGGTATGCATGAAACAGCCCGTGGGACTAGGACACTGTTAGACTAACCAGGTTCTTGCACATAAGATTGTCCTGATGATATCATCAGTATATACAGCTGCAAATCATGCCTGTGAACTTATGGAAGAACTCTTTGGATACTTCTGCTCAATTAAAAGGAAAAAATAAGACAGCACATTTACCTTTACCTAACTCACATTAATTCAGAAGAATGGGAACACATAAGGGGTTTATGGATTATTGACTTTAAATTTATAATGCCTATTGAAGTTAATAGAAGGGTGATGTCAAAGACTCAATTGAACTCCTGCATAATGTCTTAAAACTAAGAAACTGAAAGGGAAGTACTGGTTTCTACTGAATTGTCTATAAATACTAACTAGGCTAGGGGTAATTTCCCCACAAGCAGTTAGAATGTCTTGTTTATGCCAGAGCATTTAAGGCTAATAACTTGATTAACCTTCTACCCACTACTAACTAGATTTATGAAATGTCAATGGAGTCAGCAAAGCATTAAGTTTTAGCTTGAGTGTAATTACTTTTAAGTGAAAACAAACAAACAAAAAACATTAGCACAAAATAAGGACTTCCTACATAGCTAAACTCAGACCTTCAAATTTTATAATGTAATTAGGGTCTTGATCAAATATAAAGAAAATAAAATGGACAAAAATAATGTGTAATTAATCAACACTGACTATCAAATACAGACTGTATGTCATAAGGATTAAACCTGTAGCTTCAGTTGCCCTTGATTTAATGCTACCCCTTGGCTTAAAAAAATGAACAGTTCTTATTCCAGCAAAGCCATCAGGAGGTTGTAAGAAAATTGCACTAGGATATAGTCTTTCCTATGATAACACATTTTACTTTCCCCCTTTTTCCTTTTTACTATTGAAAATAAAGGTAATAAAATAAGAGCAGGGAGTATTTCATACTGAAATTAGCTTTTTGAATAATAGCTTTCCCATTTTGAATAATATATTTACCATTTCAATAATAAATATGATAGGCATGGTAACCAATGAGTGCACCCAAGACTTTGTAACTTCTTTAGCAATGACTTTGTCTTTCTCTATTCCAGGTCTTATTACTATGAGTATCTGTAGGCATCCTTCCTATAAACATAGTAATTCACATTCTCTCAATATGTAGTAACACCGACCATCATAGCAATGTCTCAAAGATAAAAAATGCAAAACCAATTAATAGTTGGAGAAATACTTACCTGAATGCTGGCTGTTGAGCGATTCTTGCGGGTTGTGGTAGTAGCCATTGTAGTGGTGGTTTCCATGACAGTGGTAGACATTTCTGGTGGCATGGCAGTTGTCTGTGTTCCCAAGATTGATGGGACTTCTCCCACCAGCCGGACACTTCCATTGATTTTAATATTGGGGTTGTTCTCAGCTGCCATGTTCAATACTTTCAAACCATCGTAATAGAGCCCAGAGAGCTGGCCTTGGAAGAGGCGTCCTCTGTCCTTTCCGCCAATGGCTATTTGCGCCTGGGTGTTGAAGATGGTTAACTGCCGGCCTAGTGGATTAGGTGGAGGAAACATCATTATTCCCATACATTTTCTCTCTTTGCCTTGCCTGGTCTAAATGAACCAGGTCTAAAAACAGGCTTCCTTGAGTAATTGAAGGGGAGAAAATTAGATAATAAAAATTCAATACAGATATTGGCAAGTAACATTTCATTGTGTTTATCCCTTCCACTGTCTAGCTGAATATCCTAGGTATCTGACTAATCAAGTCTCTATTTCTTTATTGTGAGGAAGGAGAACCTTGGTTCAATAGTGAATAGTATTGTAGTCTTCTCAATAAAGTAGTTGTGGACAAAAAAAAGAAACCCCTAAATCAGATGATGATAATAATAAACCATTAATGCCTACTTTATTGATTTGTTACCTACAAAGTACATAACAACTAAAAAGAGTTATATATGGCAAACAAAAACCTTGTGAGACACTCATCCCACTGAATTAAAAAATTAGGTCTGATAATTACATTAAATTAACTGAAATTAAATTCCAGTTAAGAGATTTGGATTCATTGCATACTTAGAAAAAGTGAACAGTCAGTCACCAAACACCTTATTTTCTAGGAATCTTCATAGTACATAATATTCTATCTATACTTGCTGTTCAATTAACACCAAGACAAATCAATTCTTACCTCTATAAATGTTGAGGTAAGGAGATTATGGTCACACAACTAAATCTCTCCCTAAAATATGGAGAATAAGTAGGCATTGATATGTTCCTGAGATGGGGGAAGAAGAAAGTGTCATTCCAAGTCAATATATTTTAAATGGGGGGTATGGACACTAAAAAAAAGTAACATAAAATTCCTTAAAATTATATCAAGATATATTAATGGACTAAAGGGTATCAGTAGCTCAACTTACTTGAGGTTCCCATTTGGGGAACGATTTATGCTTCTGTGAATAGGAAACTCTCAGAATGAAATCATGGCAGAATAGAGTTCAGAATAGTGTAACTCAACTTATCTTCCTCCAAAGTACTTCTAAATCTTTCCAAGAAAAACAACAATAACAAATAGCTTTTTAAGCCATGTCATTATTTCTCTAGATTATTTTCGTCTGCTTTTCTATCTAGAGAAGGAGGGGGAGACTTACTAATGGAATGAAATATATTCTTTTTAAAATTTTCTCCACTTTAGTCAGTGATCAAACAATGGTCCACTCATTCCTAAATCTAACCCTCTGAAATATTTTAGCTGTAAATGACTAGAAACAATGGTGTTATTCTTGCCTGATTAATAAAATAGAGTATATTTTTAAAGATTGAGGTTTTTGCTTCACAATCTCTAATATGAACAAAGGCAACCTGTGATGTTTCAGCTTTTAATGCTACTACTATTACATGGTCTTTAAGTCTACACAATGGTTAGCTATTCTTTATTTTCTGGTTTATAATGTGGAATACCTTCTCAACATATAATAATGGACAAATGGAAGAGGCAGAGAAAGGAAAACACATCTGCTCAGAGGGAACTCATTATACAAGACTCAACTCCACTCATTGGACAACTCTTCAGGGCATGTCAGTGAAGTATGATTTACAAGTAATACACCTTGGGAAGCTTTGAACACTGCAGGATGTGGAACTAGCCAGATAATTCTGTTATAGTGAAAAGGATATGAACTCTATAAAGATATCTGGAGTATGGAGATATAATCTTCTGGCCTTAATAATAACAGAAATGTCCAGAACCTAAGGGTGCAATCAAAATAGATCTAATAGATTTCCATTACTTTTTCACCAATTCCTTTGGTGCCCTGTGCATATGCATCATTGCTTGTCCTTTGACCTATCATTTCTCACAAAGCACACAGCAAAACGTTCAAAGCACAATAACAGTGGAGTCATATCTTTACTGTGTTTTTTTGTTTTGTTTTGTTTTTTGACAACAGCTTTTTCTGATAGCTTTAAGCTTACTAGAAAATAAATGCCATGATGGGAGGGGAGAATAAATATGCCCTCAACCTCACATAGGCAATTGTGGCAGCTTAAGTTAATACATAAGAGCATAATAGGAGATATCTAGGACTAAAATTCAGTATCTTATATCAGATAGCCCCAATACCAAGCGATAATGTCCATTCATACAACTGTTGTCCAACTATAATGTTTATTCATCTCCTTTTTTGTATATAGTCCACTACTGATGATCAATAAATGGCTCTGATTATAGTTGGAACATTGTATTACTTCTAGTATTCCTGAAAGTACTTCACATCTATTGTAGTCTTTATCTATTTTCCTGGTGCTATTATCCTGCCAATGCTTAAAAAATAAAAAATAAAATAATTTTTTAAAGGCTTAGAATTGAAATGCAAACTAGAATTACACTGGCTAGAAATGATGGATCTCTTTTATTCCAGTTGACATTATTCAGGTTCATAAAGTGGCCTTTGTTTGTTCAAGACTGACCCAAGCACGGAGAAAGGAGAGACATTTCCTGGGCTCTAAGATTAAGACACTGCCCTACTTCTGGCTATTGCTGCTTTCTCAGAAAGAGCTGGCTAATCAGTTCTTAAGAATAAAGCACTGGTTGGGTAAGACAGGGAAGAGGATGTCTGTGCTTCAATTTTATATCAGACCACACTGGAAATATTTGAATTTTTGTTTGATTCTCTGTTTGATGCTCTATTTTTGGCTAGATCTGCTTTCATTCTATTTTGAAATAGTCCTCCTTACCATGAATTAGGTGGTTAACAATAAACTGGCTACTACTGAAGTAATAGTGGGATAATCTAAGTCTCCTGCCACCTCTTCCTCTGATCAATTTCTCTCTCTCTGTGAAGCAGGAGTAAGTGAATAAGCAAGATACAGCCATCACCACCCTCTCCCTCTGAAGGATATGAGGACTGATGAGAAAGTTTCATCACATGCCCAAGATTTCTTGAAATCAACGCCAGTCTCATTATTGTTACTGATTATGGTCAATCATGTTTTTGTGTGTGTGATCATGTTATCTACATGTATATCTTGAAATGAGAATTGTTCTATCACCAATTATAAAAAAATTGGTTCTAACACCAGTACATAATTTATAGCAGGTTACTTTTTATTTTTTGTTGTGGGTGCCACCGTCTTGGAAGTCATTCATTATTGCCTCATTTGGACACCACGTTCACATATGGCTTAAATGAAATCTTTACATGTTTCCAAGCCAGTGTTGCACAAAGACTAATTAATTAAACCTCAGAACACCCTTGGGGAATAGGCAGTATTATTTATCCTCTCCTCTGATGGGAAATCTGAGCTATACAGAGGTTAAATGGATTGTCTAAGGTCAGGAAGTCAGTCGATAGTAGACAGAGCCAGAAAACAGACTGGGAGTGCTGTGCCCCAGACCTCTTCCCCAGTGACAGAGGTCAATGTAAAGAGGCATTCCCAGGACTTCCTGACCCATCTGCCTAGTCATCCTTCTGTCTTTACCTTTTTATACTCATTGCCTGTACAAGGTTTTTTGCTATATATTTGCAATTTATTTTGAAGGAAAAGTAAGCTAGGCAGAGGAAGGGTTAAAGCAATAGAATGAATGGACGTTACTCACCTAAATTACCAACTAAGTAATTTGTTAAAATACTGTAGAGGAAAAAAGACCTTCCAGTTTGCAAATAATTTGTTTCAATCATACGTGCACATATAAAAACATGTACATATTTGATGAAGATATTAGAATGCCTCCCTCCATCTCACCTGAACCACCCCTGGCCCTGCCCCCCCCACCCCCATTTGTTGCATGTTTGAAAGCATCCTTTTATATGAAAACCAACTGATAACAATGCTATTGTGAGGAAAACTAAAAGCCTACTAATAACTTTATAATGGTTTATACAAATGAAAATGCCTGGCATGCTCTTAAACTTAGACTTCAAAAGGCAATGAAGTAAAATAAAATAGTATTAACATAAAATTGAAAGAAACAAAAAAGTTCTCTCAGGCACATGAGACTCAGACATGCATCTAATTTTCATTTCCTTTTTAAAAAGTGAGGCAATCATCATATTTAAATGTTAAAGGGACTTTAGGAGCTGGTGATTACTAGACAAAATTATTTGCTTTTTAGAGTTATTCTTAATTTATTTTTAATTAGACCACATACATTAAAACAGGGCAAACAATTAAGACTCAGTGAGAATTTTCTGTGTTTAAAGGTGCAAATGTTTCACCCTTTAAAACTGTAGTAGCTCTTTGATTTTTAAGTTATATACTAATATACCCAATTACTTGTTATGTGTAACTCTATCAAATCTCTATGTATTTTAAAAATTCATTGAAGGTCTGGAGACCAGAAAAGCTTATACTGGCTCAGGAAAGATTAGAATAAGTAGCTTCTTAAAGAGAGGAACTTTCCTTTGTAGAGAGACAATGGTTTACATCCCAACAAACAGAAACCACACAGAAAATTCTAACATCTGGTAAAACTGCTGCCCTCTCTTATTAGCTATGTGGTGATTTTCTTTGGCAAATCAGAAACTGCTGTTTTGCCTCTTATGAGCCTTTCCTTTTCCAACTCGTTGCCCTAACCACTTACACTTTTGTTGCATAATATCCAGTACAGGAGGTATCACACAACCGAAGTGTAAAATAGGTTTGTGTTTGTGTTTAGTTTCCGTCAGTGACTAGGACACAATTAATCTCTTATGAAACCCTTTTGCCTCTGTATGGTCGCATTGAGAGGCAAAATTCATCTTTCTCTTTCTTTTCATTGTTTATAAAAAGATGTTCAAAAAGAACACTCCTCTTCTTATAACACTTGTGTTTAAGCAGTTTAAGTTAGCAGAATCTATGATTTTTTTTTGTTAGACAGTAAAGCCGAAACAGCCTCAAGATGGAAGTTTAAAAAGCACTTTTGAAATTTCTTTAGAAAGCTTTGGTATAAGAGGCTATTTAAAATAAATTAACAAATAATGTCATGCAGTGGTTAAGTTGCCATAATACATTTCTTTTTTAGAGGTTCCTGGAATTTTTTTTGTTTGTTTGTGGCTGTCACACTGAT